CTTTCAGTTGTTTACTGTTTAAAATTATATATATATATATATATATATATATAAATACTGCACAAGTTGTTTTGTGTAATAAATTAAAATGTTTCAGAACTGAAATCATTTTTGGGTCACGCCTTAATGACCAAGGAAACATGTGGGTCCCGAGGTTACACAGGTTGAGAACCACTGATGTAAATGATATGACTGCAGCACTGGAAGTTGTCAGCTGACAAGATTTCTGGCCAGATCCACAGGCATGTTTTGAACTTATACTTCAGTGGTATATTTAACAACCCAAGTTCATTGTTAAGGTTTCCATACTCTTTACAAAGAACACGTTTAGGAAGTGTTTCTATCATTACTAATGGTTCAGCTGTTAAGATCTCTAAATATGGACAATGTGCTATAACATAATTGTATTACTCAAAATTTGCCAATACTCTGAGCCTGTATTATTGTACTGAACTTCTAATATCTTAAAGGTCCAGTCTAGGTCCAGTCTACATTTTAATGTGCTGTGAGTGCTCCTGTGGAGATGTCTGTGTCTATTGTAATGACTTTAAATTCCTGACAGGATTGGATAGACAATGGTCCACCCAAAGTGTTCTGGATATCAGGATTTTATTTCACCCAATCGTTTCTGACGGGCGTTTCCCAGAATTATGCCAGAAAATACACGATCCCTATCGACCACATTGGATTTCAGTATGAGGTAAGAGAAGATGTATTTTGCATCTGTGCTGTGCTGTGTACTTGTACATTGATTAGGATTAGAATGGTTTATATAATGAATAGGCCTAATTGTTCATTAGTTGCTTTGGGTCCCAAGCTTTGTGAGATGGCCCTGCTGCAAATACAGTATATCCTTAAAAGTAGGGGATGTCCCGATGCCACTTTTTCAGGCACAAGTACATCCCCTCATGTACTTGCCGATACTTTTTCTTAAAGGGACAGGTGACTTTAAATGATCCATAGTACAAAGCATTACTAAATCAAAGACTGACACTAAATGGGGTCTGCACTCTTAGGCCTTGTTCACACCAAATGCAGAGCAGATCCATTCAGGTTTCTGCACACGCAGTTCAGTGGGTTGTGCCGCGTTTTTGATGCGTTCCGGCCATTTTTGGTTAAAAAAAAAATTAATTTTTAAATTTAAATAATAATTTTTCTTTTTTTTTAAGTTTAACATGGGCTTTCAGGCACTTGCATGCGTTTTTATGCGCTCCATAGCAGGTAAAATAGGGCTTGCCGCAGTTTTTTCACCTGCTCTGGATCTGCACGCTGCAATGTGAACTGGAGCTCAAAATACCATAGGAATACATTGGACGCAGTTTTGATCCGGTCTGCATCTGCTCTGCTCTGGATCTGCTCCGCGCTTGGTGTGAACAAGCCCTTAGAGCGGAGTAAACTGTCACCACAAAAGGAAGATTTTGGGCCTCCAGGAGGTGTTTGCCATAATTAGGGATGTTCAGATACCAGTGCTGATACTTGGCATTTTCACGAGAACTACCGGGGTTGCAGCGGTTGCAGCTGGGACCTGGCTCTGATGCTCCACCACTGTCCTGAAATCATTAGTCTGTATTGTTTTAGAAAAACTGTCACATGACAATAAACAAAAATGTATCAGTACTTGTATCTCTGAGTACTTGGGCAAGTATCAGTACTTGTACATGGAAAAATGGTATCGGTGCATCTTTTATATATAGTTATTAAAAAAAAATAATGTATTAAAATGGGGATGTACAAATCCCAGGAGCTCTGTGTGCTCCTTAAAATGACAGCGGCCTCCTAACGTTTGAATTTTTCTCTAGTCTGGTCCTGGAAAAGTATCTGTACTTTTATCGAGTACGGTACTTGGTATCTGAACATCCCTAGCCATAATGTTCTAGCATGCACAGGACATCAGCACATTATGGCAGACTTACCTTGCAAGCGATCTCCTCTAGCACTGTGATGTTAGCACTCTCCTTCACTGACAGTGCTTCCAACTTCTCCTGATCCTCTTTCCTGTTTGGCATCTTCAGCCTCTGGATTGGCCAAGGCAGGACGATGCAATAAAAGCCTACTGCATGATTCTCAATTGGCTGTAGAGGCTCTGGCATTTGGCTATAGAATGACAGGGGTCGGGGCGTAGTTTCATGAGGGGTGGTGTTTGACTTTGGAAACAATCAAGGTCATGTGTAGAACCTGGGCCTTGGATTCTTGGGTTCCATATATAGACCAAAATTGATTTGACGATTAAAGAACTGATTAAAAAAGCGTACTGCGTCAATCAGGTTAGAAGCAGCTACTTGTATATCTAAGTCATATGGCATTTGCTCAAATAGAGTCTCTTCAGCAGTAGACTGTGAGGACTTGGAGATGGTAATAGGAGCCTAAGGCGCACTTAGAGGTGGAAGCCCAGTATAGTCAGAATTAGATTCTGCCATGGATGGCACCAGAGCGCGTTTAGAGCCCCTGCAAGCAGATTGATCCTTTAAATTGTGCACAAGCTGATGAAGATACTTCATAAAGACTAGTTTAGGTGGTGTTTTTTGAAGTCTTGATTGAAGTGTCTGAAGAAAATATCAACAGTGTACTGAGGATCTTGATTGAAGCAAAAAAAAAAAAGGAAAAAATATGAATAAAAAAGGCTAAAAAAACATATATAGTTAAAATGTATTCTCAGCAGAGCTCAGCAGAAGGTGTCCAACCTCCTAGAACGCTAGAAAACAAGTGAAGCATGGCACATGGAGGCAAGGTTTTACAGTGATTGGCTTAACATTTTTTGTTTGGCCTGGTCCCAAGCTCCTGTAGGCAGTAGTATAACCTGTTTGGGAATTCCTGTTTCTCAGTGGACAATGAAGACAATGCCTCGGGGTTGGTGGGCCACACAGCTGGAAGAACAATTTGTGGCAAACCCAGCTCAGCCATTTACAGATAGACTGTACTTCCAACACTGTGGTCCGCTTAACCTTAGGAACCCTTTGCATCACCACTTCTGTCATATGGAAATCTTTCTCTTCCCTTTTTACCATCAAGGGCAAGAGGCACATGGACAGCTACACTGCTTTGTAGCACTGGTCAAATGTTATAATACATGGCTAGATAACCTTGCACTAACCAGCACCTATTATCAGTGTACATGAAGAAAAATACCAGCGTACGCTGATGGCCACTCATTGCCTCCACCCCAGTCTGTCCATCTGTTGGAAAAGTCATCACTAAAATCACAGCCAGGCTTAGCAATAATACTTTTTTATGCTTTAAAAAGGGGGGCGAGGGGGTTTAATCCTACTAAAATCTCAGTTTATTTGGCCACTTGTGAAAAGCTGTCCATTCACCTTACGAATATCGGGCGATTTTCGTATGCGATCGCGTTTTCGTCCAATATTCGTAAGGTTGATGGGCAGTGTACAACCGCAAATACTGTACAATCGATCGACTTTTGATTAACCAGCAGGTTAGAAAACTTCGGTCATTCGTACGATTTTCACAAGGTTGGTGGCGTTTCCGTACGTCAAAATTCATACGATTTACACTGCTCATGCGCAGATGAAAATACGTGCGGTCGATTACCGCAATTCGTCCAGGTGCTTTCTTTTAATTACTGCTGATTCAACCTTGCAATAATCAGGGCAGGATGGGGCCGCCGTCCGAAAATTGCACGACGGTTCGATCATCGGACTAAAAGTTTAGTCTGATGATCGCAAGGTGTGTGGGCAGCTTCAGAATGATCCCTTATCTGACCAGTCCTGCGCTGGTTACAGTATATTCTCTATTGAAGGTAAGTGTAGTATTGTGGCTGCTTTGGTTATCCAAAAGGAAATGCTTTCCCTTCCCCATTTGAGTGTGTTCTACAAACATCTGTATACATTGCTCTCTGCCTTCATTTCAGGTGACCAGGTATGAACACATCATAGACACATCTCCAGAAGATGGCGCTTACATCAGAGGACTCTTCCTAGAGGGAGCACGCTGGGACAGACAAGAGATGCAGATTGGAGAATCGCTTCCCAAAATTCTGTATGATCCTCTACCTATCATTTGGCTAAAACCAGGAGAAAGTGCAAAATTTGAGCACAAAAACTTGTACTTCTGTCCTGTATATAAAACCAGCGCTAGGCGGGGAACTCTGTCAACCACCGGCCATTCCACCAACTATGTCCTCTCCATAGAACTTCCCTCAGATAAGCCTCAGAAACATTGGATAAACCGCGGTGTGGCAGCCCTGTGCCAGCTGGATGATTAATTTATTGAAAGAGTAAGATTTCTTTTCTCCTACCAGTTCTATTACGTGCACTATTGCTGTACACATTCTGTTTGATCATTTCATACGTCACATAGTATGTGCCTTAAAGATCAGCCTTCTGTGTTCAATTGGTTGTACAAATGTTGAGAATAAAGTTGAACAAAATCTGATTTTGTAGCAAGGGTAAGCTAACTTCTCTGCCCATGAGCAACATTCTTCTTTATCGGCATGTATGGGATACATATTAGCTGTGCTGCTCCATCGCAGTTCCTATATTAGAGTTGCAGGGTATTTTATTATTTGACACTTGCAGTAAACTGTCGATATGTTTTACCTGGTGTGTGATTAGTGTCACATGGCAAAGGCAATAATCTTCACAGGAAATGTCAGTTTAAGAGATTCCTTTGGGATTTCTGAGAGTCGTGGAAACTACTAATCTCAGAATTACTAAGCTCCAACTTTAATCATAGCAGCCAAGTCATTATTATATTCAAAAGGAGAACTCAAAAATGGGAAGCCCCCGATTCTTCTTATAGCAGATTTTCTTCTAAGGAGTCTGTCACTTTGGCCATTTAGAGCAAGGGGCCTTCACCCCACCCAAGATACTCACTTTGTCAGGCTCCCAGCCACTCTTATGGAGCCATCGCAAAATACTTCCAGATGGCGAGTATAAGTAGGTCCAGGGGTTACTCTCATTACACCAGGCCCTGCAGTAACATAGCACAGTCTGCTTATTTAGTTCTCCACCCCATCTCAAAACACTGTAGAAAACACCTGTTTAGAAACCTGTAGAAAAACTGATTAGAAACACCTGTGGTGTAAAAAAATATACTTACCGTATCCCCACTTCTGCCCGCTGTGTCTAGGCAATGGTGATATCAGCATACTTTGGGTGATGAATCAGAGAATGCAGTGTAACCCGAATCTCACAAGAAGATTCTACTGCACTATGCTGGAGGTCAACTCCTGAGATTTGCAGTACTCAGTATTCCCCAGAATATCGCCTGAAAGTTGCTTCTGTGACCCCTGCAGCACGGATGCCAGGAAGAGGCAAGCACTTTAAAACTTACTTTACCCCCGCATGTGCTCATTTTATAGCGCTTTAAGATGGGTGAGGGGGCACCTACTCGGTATGTGAACCACGCATGAAGTGGAAGGTTTACTTTAAACTCACGGTCACGTATTCACATTTGGAAAGCTAGAGCACGTGTTCCAACATCAGTACCTAGAATTCTGTAAAGCAATGACCCGATTCTCGTTATAATATGAGGATTTTATTTCTACTCTGCAATAGAAAAAGTTGGTCAAGTCATGACATAAGATGTGTTTCCATGGATACAGCTCCAGAGACTTCCAAAAGGCACTTTTGCTAATGTAGGTAATTTTTAGATTGTGTCCAGGGACTTGTGTGAAGACGAATCATCTGGTTTCCTAATGTTCAAAAGTCTGGACCCTCAATCAAAACAAAGTGGACACTACACAGAGCAGAGGTATTCATTAGAGGAAGTTTACCCGCTTTCTGCTCCAGGCAATTTATTTCTAGCTGCCAAAAGTAAAAGTTACACTGAAAGCAGTTACATAGTCAATGGGATAACTTTAACAGAGAAATTACAACTCCAGCTACACCTGAAAAAGTTTTGGGATGAAAAAAAAAAAATGACTTTAAACCAGATAACTGACACTAGAAATGAAGTTATAGCCATGTTAGACCAATTATAAAGCAAGACGCTGTGTGTTGTAGTATTACATCATACTTTTTCAAAATTTAGAACAGTACTGTACATTTTTCAGAGAATTTCCACTCTCTTCATTACGTTAGAGGGGTACTGAAGAGTAAAGACATTTCTACAACCGCTTAAAAAAACACACCTAATTATCCCAAGTTACATTTTAATGAAAGCTAGGGATACCATTTTTTCAGTATAAAGCACCGATATTTTTACATACCGAGTACTGACACCAGAAATCCCATTAAAAGGAGAACGATGAGGTGAAAAGCACTCAGCCTCATAGTTCTAGCCGACCTGTGACAATGAAACTGTCACAGGTCGGCTCAGTAGATCGGGAAGTGAGCGAACACATACCGGCGCTCGCTCACTTCTCGATCATGTCCCAGCAGAGAGCCGTAACAGTAACTCACGGCTCCCTGCAGGGATTCCCCCCTCCAATGTCCGATCCTCCAGCGCTGACTGGCGGAACGGATGGGAGAGGTGCGGGTACAGCTGGCTCTGCCTCTAGATAGGCAGAGCCAGCTGTTACTCACGCAGCTGGGTGGATCCTGACAGTAAGGCCCCATTCACACGTAGCGACATACCTTTTGCAGCAGCCGGGATAGCGCGACTTTCGGAGCGACGATCCAGCGACGATAGCGCGACCTTTTCCGTCGGGTTCCCATTAGAAAAAAGCAAAATCACGCAAAATCCGCCGAAAAAAGGGTCCTGTAGAAGCGACTTGCGACCGCGACATGGAGCTAAGATAGCTCCATTGAATATCATTAGTCCGCGACTTCTCGCGATATCGCGCGGCAAAAATGCGCAATAAATCGCTACGTGTGAATGGGGGCCTAATGCACGCCCGGGCAGTAAAAACACGCACAGCCGTTACCGGCTGTTTCTTATACAACCGATCAGCGGCTCTATAACCGCCGATCGGTTGTATGGGGTGTTTTGAAGTGAACCCCCCGACCCCGGTGCTGCCACCCCCGCTCCTGACCCCTCACTTTCAATCCCGGGATCCGCTAGCCAATCTGCGGCCTGGGACCGGCTCGGGAGGCGTCAGGAAGAAGATGATAGGGAGGTCAGCATCTTCCTCCTTGCTGATCTCCCTCCGGGCTTCCGCATTCCACCTGTCATCTGGCTGCTATAGCCAGAGAGAAGCTGATGAAGCAGATATCTGCTTCATCAGCTTCTTTTGGGGTCCCCAGGTGACATTAGGGGTCCTAGAGACCCCTAATGTCTCCATAAAGAGGACCTGTCAGTGTGCCTTTGCTATTATATAGGGGATTGTTATCACTGATAACACTAAACTGATGAGCGGTAAAAGCTTTTAAAGCGTCGCCTATGGCCAATTTTGGGTATTGTACTTTCCCTTTAACCATATGCAGCAGCAATCTTGATGGCATATGTTTATCTAGTCCCTAAATGCACATTCTAACTAAGCACATTGAGGCCACAACCACATTATGGGCTCTCACCATCAATGAGCCAGGTTATTTTATACAGTAATCAGGCCAGGACAAACAAAAATAAACTGAAATTTGCCAGCCAATGCCAACTCCTTGTTGGAATTCCAAGCCATTCCCAGACAAGAAAACTCACCCTGCCAAAGCAGGCGACCCTACTGCATAGCACAGAGATTGAAAAAGTTACTGAACGCATCTGTCTTAACAGCTACACGTTAGAAGAATGGAAGAATCCATCATTATTGTAGATAACTGTTATACTGTAAACGTTTTATTGAAGAAAGCAAACTATAAGTGATGTAGAATTTACATTGAAAGGCCGGGATCTCAGCCTAATAGTCCAAGTACAAGTGAAGACCGGAACAAACAGGTAACTGCACAAACAATGTTCAAGGGTTTCTTACCCACTTTTAGTCTTCCGAATGGTAACAGGAAATCTTCCCTTGTTGGTACATTAAAAGGCAAACATAAAAGTTCCAGCATACAAGCATAGCAGCAGTGTTACCTCCAGCATAACCTCCAGCATTAGAGAGATATCCCAAACATATAGCGCACTCCAATAAGGCGGACAAAGCGGTGTCGATGTGCAGCTCCAATAATCACAGGCCGGGGTATCCCGTGTAATAACTGAATCAAAAACAAAAATAATGCCATAACCTAGCGCAGTGACAAACACAGAAGTAAGAGTTACAGTCACATGTGGATAGGTAGGAAGCCGTGATTCTACAAAGTAACTTGTGGTAAGTATGGATGGGATTCTACAATTATGGAGCAACTATGTATCAGCCAGAAGGATGTGTGGGGCAGCCTGGAGGGAAGCTCTCCACATGTGAGTGGAACTCTAACGTCTGCGTTTGTCTCCCTGTATTCACCTGGATTCACTGCGCTCCTTTTTGTTTTGATTAAGTTTCACATTATTCTGCCATATCCTTTTTTTAAAGGAGCTGAAAGACTCCACCTCCAATCAAACACCCGTGGCCTTTCAGTCAGTTTCTAAAACCGGAGGTGGAGTACTTTAGCCCGGGTGTAATATAAATCGAAAACGATATCCTGGGGCCACCAGTAACAACTCACTTAAATCTTCATAAGGGAATAAAAACAAGCATGGCACTTAGCATTTCTACCCATGCTCCTTTGCACTATATAGTATTCTGTACTTTGATATTTACATAAGATATGTATGAGGGGAACTTATACATTTTAACAAATTCACTTAAAATAACCAAAATGGAAAACAAAGCATTTAAAAAGGAGAACTATGGGGGGCAGCCTTTTTTTGCCCATAGTTCTCTTCAGGGTCACAGGAGGACATATACTGTGTCTTCCAGTGACCCAAAACTCAGCACATAGCAGGCTATTGTCTGCTATATGCTGAGAGCGCAGGGCCACTTCACAGCCGGGATGGATCCCCACAATACTGTCGAGATCCACCCCCCTGGCTGATTGACAGCGGGCTCTGCCTATCTAGCGTGTTCGCTGACTTCCCGATCATTAGAGCCGACCTGTGACAGCTTCTTTGTCACAAGTTGGCCTTTAATTATGTGGATGAGAATTGTCTCCTTTAATTAACATGGATAACATTTAGACAAAACTGCAGATAGAATAATGTCATTCTCTTTTGATGTACTTGTGGAATTTGCTTATTGTGAGTGCACAGGCTTCCAGCAGAGGTAGTGAGTCAGTCAACAGGAAGTGGAAATAAACATAGATCTGTACTCAGACAAAAGGTTAAAAAACACACAAAAATCACAAGGGTAAATATCGTATGATGGACCACCTATTCTGCAACATAGAAGAAGAAACATGGAAGAGTAACAGCAGAAAAAGACTAAGGGAGAATGTTAACCCCTGTCAGCTTATTAATTGCCATCTGTGTCCCAGTGGGGAGATTTTCCTTCACTTCCTCTCTGACAATCACAACACGAAGTGGGAGGAAATCCCTCCAAAGTGAGGGAAATCCCTGGTGGTCAGCAGGGTCACCAGACCTTGTGTCCCCTTTGGACGATTTCCCATCTCTCTCCCATTCAGTGATAACGGTCACCAGAACAAATAGGCAAGGCGAATCTTAACAGGGACTCACAGACAGCAATAAAAACCGGATGGAGTAGAACACTTTTCTCCACTCGATCCAAAACTAGAAAAAAAGTTTTGGCTTCAGTTGCACTTTAAACCTCTATGTACTTCTGCAGCCCCATTATTAAGATCTTACATTTCCAGTTGCTTGTTCTGGTTTCTATCATACACATACAATAGCACGGCTATAGAAAGGACGCCATTCTGTTCCCCTCTGTGAGCCTAGCCAGTCCATATGTCCTGGAGGCACTATGAGATCTCATCATGCGACTTCAGATACAGAGGCTTAGCTTGCTTCCTCAGCTTGTCTTGTCTGGTCATCTTTTTACTGTGAGACAGTGACAGCCCCATGGGAGGTAGGTGGGTCTAATAATACAAAAAGGGGTGAGTTAGTCTCTGGAAAAGCACTCAAACATTCATTTCAGCATATCACAGAAGAGATGAGCCAACTATGCTGATTTATGACATCGATTTATTCACTCTTATTTATGGGAGTTGTGGTAAAAGTAGAGGGTTGGAAGGATGCGATGTCTTTTACACTTAAGGAAACTCTATTGTGGTAAGAATAAAACATCTTTTAGGTAAATATCCAACCAAACTGTTTTCAATTTTGGACAGAGGGGAGGAGAGATACTTTCGGGTCAAATGGGGAAGGGTCAGAACCCCTGTCAGGGTATTATTACGGTTTGTGATTTCCTGTCTTGGTTGACAACAGTTTCACCAATGTATTGTCCTGTTATCACAAGGACAGGGAGTGAGGTGATATATCGTTAAGAAATAAAATACGGGCAGAGGTTCTAACCCTTACCATACAATCCAAAACTTCAAAAGAACGTTTTTGCTGGAGTTGGCTTTAAATTCTACCGGTATAATAAAGACTCAAAAGCTCCCCTGCCAAAAAATACTTCCCCTCAGCTGCTGCTGAGTACAGAGAGGGTATTCCATACAGATGGTGAAGTTCACAGCTCTCCAGGTGCAACATAACGTAGTAACTTGTCCAATAAACTATACGAAATTATAAATAAAAAGACAGACTATGTAGTAAGGCAGGCTACACAATGATGATTACACCGTCATACAATCTGTAATCCTCTTCTGGACTTACTGCCTGCTGTCATACCAGTTCTTGCTGCACATCAATCCAACCATCATACCCTCTGCCCATCAAATACACACACTGCCCGTCATACCCTCTGCCCATCAAATACACACACTGCCCGTCATACCCTCTGCCCATCAAATACACACACTGCCCGTCATACCCTCTGCCCATCAAATACACACACTGCCCGTCATACCCTCTGCCCATCAAATACACACACTGCCCGTCATACCCTCTGCACTCCTCTCCTGCACATAATTCTCTCTGTCATATCCACCACACTCCTCTCCTGCACATACCGCCTGCTGTCATACCCTCTCCACTCCTCTCCTGCACATACCGCCTGCTGTCATACCCTCTCCACTCCTCTCCTGCACATACCGCCTGCTGTCATACCCTCTCCACTCCTCTCCTGCACATACCGCCTGCTGTCATACCCTCTCCTGCACATACCACCTGCTGTCATACCCTCTCCACTGCCCGCTAAGACACTTTGTTGGCATTGTTATTTATCATTGTTATTATCTTCAACCCTTTCCATTCTGAAACAGACACACTTTGCTAGTTATGATAAAAGCAGATTTGAATGTAGAAAACACGTACTGGTCTTGGGTATGGGATTCCATAATGTAAACCAATCTCAATCCTTGCGTTGCATTCTCCTATGCATTGCTGGATAGTTTCAATATGTGTTACCTAAAAAAATAAAAATAAAAATAAACGCAGCAAATAAGAAATAACGGGGATTGCAATAGATTAACAGTAAAAGAATTGTTAAAGATAAAACCCGATCTAGAGATACAGAGTGATATTTATAAAGCCAGCACCAGGGCCTATGATGGATACACCACGTTAACAAACGTACACTTTGTTTTGGACTGAATGCCTGCACTCTTATTTATGGGAGTTGTGGTAAAAGTAGAGGGTTGGAAGGATGCGATGTCTTTTACACTTAAGGAAACTCTAATTGTGGTAAGAATAAAACATCTTCCACAGAGTTCATAGCTGCTCTGGCTACTTCATCAAGTATGGTGTGTTAACTGGAATTGAAACATGTCAATGGTTTGTACATTTTCCACAACAAACATCAATAAAAGCACCTTGGAAGTAGTCCAGAAAATTAGGACTGTAACAATCGGATTCCTGGCAAGGTCTGAAGGCATTGCCCAAACCTTGAGAGTGATCCACCCAAGAGGTCAATGTATAGACAGATATAGTCTCTACATACACTGATATTGGTTGCCAACCAGCAATGCTTTTCAGGAACCATACAAATAGATACATCTTACTAAATCATCTGATGTAACTTATTGATCAGCAAAGACCACATAATACAACACTATCGAAGCTGCTCTTTTTGTTTTTAAAGGGGTTCTAAAGCCTCGTTTTTTTTGCCTATATCTAGTGCTGGCAAGCAGTAGATTTAGGCAAAAAGTTATTTTTTAAAAACACTTTAACAGCGGTTTAAACTTACCTTGTTTTCGCTGTGCGCTCCCGCGCCGAGAATCCGGAACTGTTCGTGCGGCCGCAAAGGATCTTGGGGCGGGCACATGCGCAGTTCGGATTCTCAGCCGGGAGACGAGCAGAGACGCAAGGTAAGTCTATGGACGCGTGCACCCGCATGCAGACACCGCGGGATCGGAAGTGCCTGCAAGCAGAGAAGAGTCAGCGCTGGATCGGGGAGCTGCCGCACCGCTGGATGGACAGATGAAAACATCAGGAAAGAAGAGGAAGATCGGATTAAGAGACATCATTTAACCACCTCAGGGCCGGCCATGGTAAAAAAAACGGCTGGCCGAGAAGTCTCTAGATCTGACACATACCCGGGCGGCGCGCGCGCGGGAAATGGCCGGTATTTAAAAACAGGCAGCGATGCCTGTTACCATACAATCGATCCGCCAGCTGTAGAGCCGGCGGATCGCGTGTATGGTGTGCCAATCATTCTTGTGTCACTCTCCAGCTTCAGAAGCTGGAAAGAAGCTGATGGAGCAGATCTCTGCTTCATCAGCTTCTTTTGGGGGATCCTAGGTGACATTAGGGGTCTTGGAGACCCCTGATGTCTCCATAAAGAGGACCTGTCACATATTTTGCTATCACATAGGGGAGTCTAATTAGCCCCCGTATGTGATAGCAATAAAGTTTAGTGGGGGAAAAAAAAAAGAGAAAAAATGTAAGTCCCCCCCCCCCAAATTTAAAAGTTACACATAAAAAAGAATTTAAAAAAAAACAAAAAAAAATGTAAAGTCCCCACCCATATATACACGCGTCGGGGGCGCATACGTGCAAAAACGACGATTGCGCCCATTATGCCGCACATGTTACATATCGCCGCCAACGTCGGAGTGAGAGCAATAAGTCTAGGGCCATCAATCACTGATAACACTAAACTGATAACTGATGAGCAGTAAAAGCTTTTAAAGCGTCGCCTATGGCCAATTTTGGGTATGGTAGTTTTCTGCAATATGCGGGTGCGCGCAATTTTAAAGCTTGACATGTTTGGTGTCTATTTACCCGACCTTTTATATTTTACAAAAAAACTGGGAATAAATGTTTCCTAACAATGTAAAAAAGTTTTTCCTAATTATAGTAAAAAATAAAACCCCAGTGGTGAATAAATACCACCAAAAGAAAGCTCTATGTGTCCCCAAAAAATGGTATAAAATTCATTTCAGTACAGCGTTGCATGACGGAATAAACGTCAGTCAAAGTACCGCAGCGCTGAACACTGAAAAATGGCCTGGCCAGGAAGGGGGTCTAAACACCTGGTCTTGAAGTGGTTAAGGTAAGTGCTGACATTAACATTGGGGGGAGGGAAACAAAATTTGACTTTAATCTCTGTCTCTCCCTATTTCTTATTTTTGTTGACTCCCAAACATGAATTGGAGGTTAACCCAAGAAAAGTTGGGCCACACACACCATATAGAGGGGCGGACCCGAGGCTGGACAGAGTGATGCTGCGTGATCATCAATAAAACTTTCCAGCGTTATTTGGTGTGTGGCTGGACTTTTCTTGGATTGAGTGCTGGAATCATGGGCACGCATTGCTTTCTTCCCTCTGCTTGGACTTGGAGGATCATTGCAACTGCTTTCTGCTATAAATGAATAGGAGGTTGCTTCACTTAAATCTTCATGTGTAAGAGTTTGTAGATCTAGTCCATTCAACATCCATTTACAAGGTAACAGGAAGCAAATATTGTTTCGGCCTCTTGCAGTCCCAGAGCTCAGAGAGGGGAAGGCAGAAGCAGCACAAGCAATAGGTTATGCATATTAAATTTGGTTGGGTTGGGCGTGCTCCAAACAAAAGCTAAGGTCAGAACAAACAGCTAACTAAACTGGTGTAATACATTCTGTACATGTCAGCTGTTTCTCTAATAACACTCAGTAAAATGTGTGATTCAGGAACCTTAGCCAGACAGCATAGCCAGGTCAATGACTGACATTGCTCAGCTGCAGTTAAATAATACACTGTGGTGAGTGAGCCAATAAAGCCTGCTGAATGGAGCTCCACAAAACTGAATGTGTCTTTTCAATGTTCATTTCTTTGCTGTCACGGTCTAACAATATGAATGACGGCACTGTGCAAAACAATAGACCTGACTGGGTCATAATTCGGGCCCTCTCTCTCAGTCCAAGTCATGCAGTGCAGGGGATTGCAGAAAGGTAGACATTCACATATATAGTATATAAAATAAAAATATGAACTCTTAATGGTAGGAAGCAGGATCCATATCTAACATTCTGGGAACACTGATCTAAGACATAAAAGTCTATACAGTACAAGCTTTCTTGTTCTCAGCTGCTGTTTATTTGAACAGGGGCAGCTTATCACTTACGTGGCTCCAGGTTTACAGCTCACCACACACTGTACAATCTTCTTTAGATCTACCAATAACTGAAGTGGGATGTTCTGCCTGATTAGATACACAATGAATGGAGACCTCAGCTAGATTCATACATAGGTTTGGTAAATCTAAAAGGAGATTGTACCGTCAGATCATAATGTGTATGGTGAGCTTACCACAACTTTATCATATGAGTCCAATCAGCCTGTATCCAATTAGCAATCTTGGCAGATCTAAAGGTAACAATCTATCAAATTAGAAATGTAAAGATTGTTTCGGTAGGCCCTCACTTTAGTTTTTTTTGTAAACCTAGGAGAGACTGTATAGAGATGGCACAGATTATAAGGTGTATGGCCAGTTTATTCCTGGCTTTCTCCTTGTGTAGCTGGCAGCTCTCTTCAGTAAATCCTTACAAAACCGGTATCCTTATTTTCATAACTGTCCAGAACCTGAGCTTGAATCCAGAGTTGAGGATCCACATGCACAAAGTCCATTGAGAACGTCAAACAAAAAGGTTCTAGAGTCCAAATTTCTTTATTATCAGTAATGATTCACAACAGGATAACACAAAACAGACAACGCGTTTCAGGGGGACCAATAACTCTTCCCATTCTTCAGGGCTCAGTTGTTGTATTGGCAGGATTCAGAAATGGCATAACCCCCATAAATAATTCTTAGTTGGAATTTACAGATTGCCAGCAGTAACTGTATCAACAGAATGACAGCCAGGCAAATGGCATATCCAAAAGGAGGTAAGCAACAACAGCCTCCATGTTCCTCTCAGCAGATGTTTTATTTCAGATTAGAATGGCTTAGAACAATTAGAGCAAATAAACATTAGAGCAACATTTACTTGCCACCTGCCCAATATGACAGTACTTACCTGTGTGCAGCCAATCACCAGACTCGGACACTCTCACGTGGTTGACCATGACGTCATTCCCATCTAAGGTCCAACATCAGCCGACACCAGAGCTTAGACAGGCTGGAAAACTGCAGCAGAAAGACAGCTAGGAAGCCTGACTCAGTAAGTATAAAAGCATGGGGGGGGGGGATCTACAGACTATATATAGTCCTGATGCTACCACCATGCAAATGCATTGGAATAAGATATGGCTAGGGGGCGCTCTTAGAGAGTGTCATGTCATGATGGAAAGCCAAGGAGCTATTAGGCTTTTGACTAAAGCCCGGTTGTCAGTGTCATGCGAAGCCAGTGCTACGAGTGCCCTAACACCCTAAACAGTCATTAAAGTCAAGCACTCCCTCTAAAATGGCTCTTGGTTTTTACATGACTAAGGCCTCTTTCACGCGTGTGTTAAAACCAGGCAATAGAGAAGCGTTTTTATTGCCTCTCTGCCGCCTATTAACACTCATGTAGGATAAAGCAATAGCACCCTCCTGGTGCAGTTCACAAATGGGTGTCAGCGTTGTGTTGTGTTGCATGTTGCGTTCTGGAGGCATTGCTGCTGGACAAATGACTCTTTTGAAGTATATTAAAAAGCCCCTTAAATGCTTGGCCTCCTACAGCATTGTTTGGGCATTTAGGAAAGCATTGCACGGGTGTTGTAGGAGAGGAATTGGAGGTTTTGCACCCCCAGAAACCACTGGGGAATCAGAGAGTGAGTGGACAGAGCAGGTGCAGATGCCACTTCCTGTCTGCGCACAGCCAGCATTTTGTGAATGTCACATTTAGCATTTTCCCAACAAAAGAGGACAGCTTCTAGCCTGAAATATGTCAGAAATAAATGCTGCAAGGCTTATTCAAGCAGTAGAGCAACACCCACAATAGTATGACCCAAGTCTGCCCAGCTATACTATTCAAAACACCCAGAATAGTATGACCCAAGTCTGCCC